ACCATCCCACAGTCGCCTAAGTTGGCTTGGAATGCAGACCAGAGGTGAGCCATCCCTTGACAGCACTCTACTACGCCACTTCTCTTCGTCGATGACTGAGAGGATGGGAAGTGCCAATTCCCAAATCCAGCATAACTTTTGGAGACGCAAATTTTGGTAATTTTTGAATCCATTTCAGCGACGATGCCGAAAAAAGTTCAGATATAGAAACTCAGTAATCGACTGAGTGGACAGCGGAATAACTTCCGGTTCAACAATAGCACACAAAACACATTCTCCATCGGCTCCAAATGGCCAACAAGTATTGCATACAAGCAGAAAAAACACATCAATGGCTCACAGGTGAGATCAGAGGCGGTCCGTTTGTGTTTCGTCGCTGGATCACCTTTCTCTTCAGCCGCCACCGGCTGCGACCAATGAGCCCTCGACGATTCACTATCCCCGACAAAACAAGTAGAAAAAGAAGGATAAGCAGTTGGAGGAGGGGTAGACTGAGGCGAAGGGGCAAACAATCAGACTCACTTCACTTCTAAGCAATTCAAACCGCCACAACTGCCACGGTCCGACTCCACCTTATCCTTTTCCTTCGCCGCCACCTTAGCGGTGGATGAAGACGTGAACGTCCCTACGATGGGAATGAAATCTCTTGAATAGGACTTCAACAACTTGAAAGGGCTACTTGATGAGGAATGAGAGATGTTGTACGCGTCCACTAGCCAAACCATTTCTGTGGCAAAACGAAACGATGTGGTGACTCTAAAGAGAGCAGAAGAAAAAAGAAAAAAACAAAAGTTGTTTATTGTGAACAAATTATACCCCTCAAGAGCAGTCCCAACGGAACCCTAATGACTTCGGTCGGACAACTGTCTCGGCGGCATGTAACACTCATGTTAAAGGCCTCCAAGTCCAACTCATATCGTCCGACCGTTTTCGACCAGATGGCAAAATTGTTTGAAGGATGGCGCTTGATATTACTAACATCAGTCTTTAGAAGCGTCAACAAAACTTTCCTGTATTGTCACATCGTGGAGAGGACTTCCATCAACCACTGCTTCAACTACCCATGTGGATAAGAAA